AAAATTCATAACTAGAGTTCTGGACGCCCGATTTGAGTTCCATTTGAAGAATTGGAGAGATAACATGATGAACTTTGTTTTAAAAATGGTTCTAGCACTTTGAAGTAATTTATTTGTCACTTGATAATGTTGGATGAGAGGTGAAGTTTGCTATTGATCTCGTTTTTGGTACCAGACTAGTTCTTATCGCACCATACAGAAGTCAGTTCAAAAGTTGGGAGAATTGGAGAAGTTATTAGAAGATGTATGGAGAAATAGATTTGCAAAACCAAATGTATCATTTTGGGAGCTTTAATGTCATTATTTAAGGAAAGAGAAAGTAGTATGAAATTGTATGTGGATTACCGATAACTGATTAAAGTAGTGGTTGAGGTTACATATCCATTTCAGATGATTGATCATTGGATAGACCAACTAGTAGGCGAGTATTTTACCAGTATAATTGAATTGGGGTCGGATTATCTTCAGATACAGATGAAGATTGAGGATGGTGAGAAGACATCTTTTAGAAATCGGGGAAGTTATTTGGAATAATTAGATCAGTTTGTTGCGGTATTTATTGAGAACATTTTGATTAGTCTGAGTCAGAAAAAGGAAACATTGAATGTCGTGATTCAAATTTCAGTGTCGAAATGGAAGAAAATGTATGTTAGGGTGTTAGGATGTAGATTATGATTTGAAGAGGTGAATTTTATTGAACATTTTTATTTCGAATGAAGATATGAGTGGAATCTATTCAAAGTAAACAAAGGTCTATATTGAGAGGCTCTAAAATTGGTTATGGAGATTAGAAGCTTTTAGGGATTAACTGGTTATTATCACAGTTGCTTGAGACGAAATCAAGTGCGATATGTTGTTAGTGAATGAGCAAAGGGAATGAGATGTTTAACATTAGGAAGGATGTGAATGTATTAGATAACTGCATAGAGATGTAACTTATGCCAATTGAGGACGACTGGAATGATGATAGTTTTTTAGGAGAAGGAAAGTAATGCTAGAGGAAAGATAAATTCGAGAAGGATTGAAATTATGGTTATGACGGAAAAGTATAGACACGAGTTATGGGAAATTGGGGAGTTCTATCACCAACCATATGAATAGATGGTAGTGTTGAGATTGTGATTTGGATGAGATCCAAATGTGAGATTAAAGGAAAGAGTAAGGATTTATTGATGTGGTCAAAGTCTTCTAACTGGATAAAGACTTATTTTGGAACGAAACGGTTTGGATTATATTTGGTGTCATAGTTTTCATGTATTAAAATATACTGAACAATTGTGTTGTGCTGCGTGCGTGTAAAGGAGACTATTAAACAGATTTTTGGCATTTATGTATCATTGACGAGGTTGAAATGAAGGAAATTAAGATAAACATTTGTAAGCCTTAGAAAGATTGTTGGACATTATGCTCATCTAACTTTGTGCACAAGGTGAATGACGCTATTATAGTTAGGTAATGATGATTTATGCCACCATTATAGTAGATGGGATCGTGTTGGATGGATATATTTATCTTGACATCGTAATGATGTGTAAAGTGAATTGGCATTTTATTGAAAGGATAGTTATTCACCATTTTGTGCGAACCTAATACAAAAGTGTCTATGAAAGAGTTGAGTCTTATTGAATAGTTCGAAGACATGAATTGGTATGCGAGCTAACGCTACAGAGTGGAAGGTTGAGGATGTCAAAAAGTGAACATTGATTTTTGGTGGATACCAAAGAGAAACTGGAGATAGATGTGGAACTTGTAGATCTAATAATTGATGGAAATAAAAAAGAAGACAATGACCTAGAATAGATAACAGGGTGGCATAACGGAAGCGTGATGCGTCGTAGCTTGTTATGCATATATGATTTATTGGAGTCAATGATTAAACATTCGAAGCTACAAGGATATTGAAAAATATTGGATGTTTTAGACTGGAAGTGATAGGTGAAGGGTTTGTATATTATTCATGTTATTGTCATTTCAATAAATGTATTGAGTTGTATGCTCGATTGGTGAAACATAGCATTGTGGTACTGGTGTATGTGTCAATGATGTCAATATTAGGATGATGTTTATATGCTTAGTACAATGTTGTTGTGTAATAAAGTGATAGATTTTGTATCCTAGAGTGATGGGGCAAGAAGTGATATGAACGAGTGCATTCATAATCCAGTAGCAATGAATCTTGTGGGATTATGGTGGTTGACTATATGGGATGTTGGTTATTGGTATTTGAAATGATGTAAAACATGATGTGGAAGTTGGAAGGAAGGATGCGAGAAGCTTACCCAGAGTTGTTCGCTTGAGGAAATTTTAGAGGACGAAAATCTTTTAAGTGGGGGAGAGTTATAACACCCCGATTTAATAAGGATTATTCTTAATTAAAAATAATTAGAGGAGATGATGTGTTTGCCGGTGTTGATATATTTTACGATGTGATGTGATGCAATTGGGAAATTAAAGGTTGAGATGTTGGGGTGTGTGTGACTAAAAGCGGTGAGAACATGAGGTGAATAGAGAATATGAGCATTATTATTATTATTATTATTATTATTATTATTATTATTATTATTATTATTATTATTATTATTATTATAGATATAAAGTTATTTATAATATTAGTGATTGATTAACTAAAAACAAGGAAGGGCAAGACGGGAATATAGATTTAGGGGTCTAATCAGTGTTATTAGAAAAACAAGAAGTGAAAACACGAAGAATAGATCATAGAAGTGAGAAGCAGAGGAAAAAGAGAAGAACAAAGAGAAGAGAAGAGCGTGCAAGCTAGGGTGAGGAATTTTTAGTAGAGAGCTTAAAATCATCAAACCTAAGGTAAGGGTGAAGTTCTAACTCTATAAGGGATTGTATGATGATGGGTTATGGTAGAGTTAGTTTATATAATTGTATGATCATCTTTGTGTGAATCTGGTGTTCATGTAATTTGTGTATATGGCGATTGATGATGATGAATTGGTGTAAAAACCTTTGATTTTGATGATATAGAATGACTCTAATTGATGGTTATGAATTATACATGTTTGATAGAACAAATGTTTTTGTTTCATGATGGGAATTGGTGAAATTGGGTGTTTTGAGAAGAGAAATCACAACCTGCATAATTGCAGAATTTTTTGAAAAATAGCAGTGGTAACCGATTACCATTGGGGAGTAACCGACTACCACGTTAAAATTTGAAGAAAAGAGGCTATTGTGTTACGCAGTAACTGGTTACCGTAATACAATAACCCGTTACCGCTAATATATTTTTGAAACACAGAGCTACTGACTTGTGAAGTAACTGGTTACCGTAATGCAATAACCGGTTACCACTATGTTAGACAAAATTTTGAAAAATTGAAAAATCCATAACTTTCACCTCAGGTGTCCGTTTGACACGCCGTTTGAACCTATGAAAAGCTAAAAATATTTTCTACTCAATAAAAATGTTTTTAACATAATATGAGATGACTTTTTGGATTTTTTTATTCCAATGTTTTGTTGTAATTGCGAAGTTGTGAATATGACGATGAGTATGAAGAGATTTCATGATGTAGTGATGTTGCGACGATGTATAAACAACGGTGTGTGATTAACGAGGTGTATTAGATTGGTTTGTTGATGTATGCTGTGTTGTTGTATTTGTTGTAATAACATGTTAGTGTTGCATGCATGTTCATAAGTGACGGTGTAACCTTAACGACAAGTGATGGTGTAGCCTTAACGGCAAGTGACAGTGTGGCCTTAACAGTAAGTGACAGTGTAGCCTAAATGGAAAAGAGACGTTGTTATGGTACCACATGTATATAATTATTCAAGTTGGTCTCATTGCATTTATGATGTTGTTGATGAATAAGATATGATTTAATTGATTGTTGGATGTGATTGTTGAAATTGTGACGTGTATTGGCGTTAATGCATGAAATATGAATATTTATGATGTTGTTGATGAATAATATGTGATTTAATTGATTGTTGTATGTGATTGTTGAAACTGTGACGTCTATTGACGTTAATGCATGAAGTATGAATATTTATGATGATGTTAATGAATAAGATGTGATTTAATCGATTGTTGAATGTGATATTTGAAAATGTGATGTGTATTGGTGTTAATGCATGAAGTATGGATAATTATGATGTTGTTGATGAATAAGATGTGATTTAATTGATTGTTGGGTGTAATTGTTAAAAATGTGACGTGTATTGACATTAATGCATGAAGTATGGATAATTATGATATTGTTTATGAATAAGATGTGATTGGTATGATTGTTGAGTGTGATCATTGAGACGGTGTCGTGTATTAGTATGGATACACAAAGTATGAACATTGTGATTATGTATGCCATACTTTACATCTTCATTATCATACATTTGTTTATATTGTTATGATATCTCACCTCCCTTTTGTTTGAATGTTGCCTCCACGTAGGTAACGCGTGGGTGAAAAGGATTAGAATTGCTTGGGGTATGGAGTTGCGCCTTGTAGTGTATAGATTGAGTTGGGTCTTGCTCTGATATATAACACTAGGGATGAATGCTTATTTTGCTTATTTAGTTGTTGTTATTTTGAAGGGTTGTGAGAGTATTGTAGACTCTCTTTTATTTAATAAGACATTGTTATGAATTGTTGGAGTTGATGACTAAATCTATTCTTAATTGTTTTCGTTGCATTAATAAAGTGAAGTTGAATACCATGTTTTGAAAGTGATGTCAGTTTATCCGAAAAAGGTGTGTTATGTATCTATTTGTGAAATGATAGAGAAACTTTTAAGATGATGAAATGTGATATCCTATTTCGATGTTGATTGAAAAAATTTAAATTACTCTGATTTTATTAATTATTCAACGAGGGAAAATATGGTGTTACACCTTTCACCCAACCTAGACTTTCCGCCATTGTCCTGGTCTTTGTTGATGTCGAAGTACATTCTCTTGGCATTTGACTCTGACTTCCTCAGCAACTTGTTGATTTGTCTTCCCAGTAAAACAAGTTCTTCATATGCTCCTTATAAGTTCAACTCATCACAGTCCTTTGAGTCTTTAGTACTAGACGTAAAAGTTATACTCTTCTTTTCCTTCTTCTCATACCTTTCATTGATAGAAAATTTAAAGGTCTTAAGAGAACCTACCAATTCATCCACAATCATGGTGCTTATATCATGAGATTCTTCGATAGCAATAACTTTCATGTCAAACTTCCTTGGAAGAGACCTGAGCATCTTCCTGATCAACTTATCTTCAGATATCTTCTCTCCCAAGTATTCTGGATCATTTGCAATATCCAAAACAGTCATATGAAAGTCCTGAACACTTTCATCTTCATTCATCTTCAAATTTTCAAATCTTGAAGACAGAAGTTAAAGTTTTGTCATCTTTATCTTGGAATTTCCTTCATGAACCTTTTTAGGATTTTCCAAGCAACTTTAGCATGCTTTCAATTTTTAATCATCTTGAAGATATTCTTATCCACTCCACTAAATATGGAATTTAATGCTTTGGCGTTTCCTTGAGCTGATATCTCATCAGCATCATTCCATTCTTCTTCAGGTTTTAACACGTCAATGGCCTTTCCTTCTGCATCCAAAATTTTTGGAGGATCCCGTCCTTTAATAACTTTTTTCCAGGCCTTGTAACCCAAGGATTTTATAAAGGTTTCCATATGAGGTTTCCAACTGTCATAATTAATACCATCCAGAATTGAGATTTTAACCACAGTTCTAACATCCTTGTCCATGACACCAGAAAGTAACTTCCCCGAATCTCACCCAGAGTCAGAGCAGGATGCCTGCTCTGATATCAATTGAAATTCTGGCTATCAGATCTCGGATGTTCTAAGAGATGTTGAGACACCGGATCCGACTTCACACACAACAACAAGATATAATGGAAAACTAAAACAGTGTTAAAAGTAAATAATACAAGATATGTTTACCCAGTTTGGAACAACCTTCCTACTCGGTGGGCTACCAAGTCAGGGACGAAATCAATAAGATAGTATCAATTTACAGACCTTAGAGCAAACCTTCGGTTTATAGTCTACACACTTAATCACTACCATTTGTTTAACTTCTACTTAAGACACACCTAGGTATGAGGCCCTCCTCAAATTCCTCTTCAATTACACTCAACAATTGGAGCAAACTCTAAACAGAAGTAGAGAACAAAAAACAACTGGAAGTTATACTTCCAAAACAATCAAGACTCAATGTTTAAAAGCTTATGAGAATTGACAAACAATATGTTCAATGCTTAAAAGCTTATGAACATCTAAAAAGAGAACTTACAACCCAACAAAACAGTCATACTCTTCTATCAAGATGATATTAGAGAGACTCACAAAATAAGGATTATACAACCCTAAAAACACACACATAAGTTCTATCTAATACTGGGTATACACCAGTCTATTTATAACTTTATTCTAGACTGAGTTGGGCTTCAAAACTACAGAAGTGAGGCTGCATAAAGTCTGCAAAAAGTCCTCCAAAAAAGTAGGTCTTCAATCATTAGTTTCAAAACAAATCTCCATATTTAGAAACTGATCAAATCTTCGAAAACCAATCACAAAATTTTTTGATCAACCAATCTTAAACGCCACATAAACTAACTGAATATTTAATAGCTATAAATCAGTTGATTCACAGTGTCAGTTTACTCGACATATTGAAACAGAATGTTGAAACATCTTGTTTAACATGTTACTGCTAAATTGATTTTACCAAAATATAAGTCAACTATAATACCAAAGACATAACAATAATGATACTCATATTCTCTGCAAAACAAAAAGAACATCATGATCAAACTGGATAACATACAACATTGAAAGACATATAATTAATTTCCTCCGCTCACCAAAGATCTTCTTTCATTCTACTTCATCAGCTGCTTCTACCAACAAATGCATTTCAATATATTGCCTCGTTTCTCAAGACGTCAATCCGTCAACAAGGATCGGCCCCATTGACAAAGTCTAGGATTACTCAAAAGGCGGTGAGCTCAATTTTTGGGTTCTCTTCCTCTGAGGACATATCATTTAACTTTTATGTTATGAATTGCCTTTATTTTATGTAATTTTAAGTCTATTAATATAAAATAAATTAACATAAATATGATTATAGTTTAGTAGTAGGAATTCCATCCGTGGAGAAGTAGATTCAAATCCCAACAACCACAATATATATATAAAAAAGAGGAGGTGCATACAGATCTTATTATATAATGAACTTCAGCTTTCACGTTGTGGTCGTAAAGACGTTAAAGGTTTTTGGAATAAAAATCGGATATGGCCACTTGAGCAATGATTAATTGTCTTCCACGTTGTGGATGTAGAGACCAAGTTAAAGGTTTTGGAAATTAAACAATTAAAAAAATGTACTACTATCAAAAGAATAATTAAAAAAAGATGCCTTAGTGTAAAAAAAAACATGAAAATCATATTATGTAATGAGCCTTTTTTTCATAATCATGTAATCAACCTTAATATAAGTTATTTCCCTAAATATAGTATCCATATATGTACTTATAATTTAAAGATGTTTGACAATGTCAACTCAAATGTCTTTCAATTTCTTTTTTTTTTTTTTTTTTTGATATTTGTGTTGGGAAATAACCTCTATTATTTTTCTCATATGTGAACTCAAAATAGGCACATGCAAAAACGTGAAAAATATAAATACAATGACACAAGAAAATTTTAACTTGAAAAACCTTCTCAATGTGAGAAAGGGAAAAAATCACAGGATCCATAGACCTCTTAAAGTTTCACTATAATGATAATGGAAATATAACAACTTCACCTTTAGGTGGAACTCACTACAATATATCTCTCAATTTGTAAGAAATACTCTCACAAATTGACTCACTATTTCTCTCACAAGAAAACTCTCTCTAAAAATCAATTTTCTCTCTTGAGCAAAGCTCTATTTCTCTTGCTTATTGTTTCTCTTGTGGTTGTGTTTTGAATGCTTTCTTATGGTCCTATTTATAGGAGAAGTAAAGCAATGTCCCTTACATGCATGAAGACACTTGTCTTTTGCCTTCCATGTAAAACACCAAGTGTACTTTGTAAGGCATGCACCATAACAAGTGTTCTTTGCAAAGCATGCACCATAACAAGTGTACTTTGCAAGACATGCACCATAACAAGTATACACCATAAACCTTATTAGACGTCATCACATGCAACCTTCCATTTTGTCAAATATATGTTGGCCATGTGATAATGGTTGGACCCACATTTCTCCCCCTCAAGCCATAGAGGAATGGCCTTAATTAGTTTGGGGTTGCTGCCAACCCAGCAACTTGTTTGCAAAACTCTTATTTGTTTTACTATGCTTTTTGATACTCAACTCTTATTAATAAAGAAACAACTCTGGAGGGAGGATGACGAATAATTTACCTAGAATCTCAAATGGTATAGTTTCGAGTAAAAACCTTGCTAGCAATGTACAAGCATTATTTCAAATCCCCAAACACTGGAGTTATAAGGGAGATAGACCCTCGTTAACCCCTTTGAGCCTTGAGGATACCGTTGAAGGGTAAATTATTTTCGAGGATGATCTTAATCTAGGTCAGACCTTCTATTGACTGTGTAGAGTAAAAGAAGACTGGTTTGAGAAATGATTAGCGGCAAATTGTTTGGAAATTTGGATGAAATACAAAAGTATGATCGCCCATCTCCATGGAGCAATGGTGTATTATTTTCAGTGGATCATGGGGAACCAATTTCTTCAAATATTTGTTTAAGCAAGAAGAAGTTTAAGTTGAGAAGTACGGTTATGAAGTAACCTACTTTCGAGTCAGGAGTACATTGGTGTACCAGCTTACTTTCAAGACGTGAGTCAATTACCTTGAAGAGGTGTTGTCTTCAAAGCTCAGCGATCTTCTCATTCCTCTGTGAGCATGAGGCACCAAAATGGTATCGAGACTCTGTTGAGAAGGGGCAAGAAATTCCAATGGTAGTATTCAGTTGAGCAGAAGAAAAAGTATCAAATTTCGATTACCCTAAGGGGAAGAAGCATGTGAATACTCCGTCGAGTAAAAGTTCCACCAATCTGGGGAAATCAAGTTGAGATTCAATCTCTCAAAGCTTCACCAATCTGGGGCTGTTATGTCGAGATTCAGAAAATCTCTCAAAGCACCGAGTAATCAGGGTTCGTTACCCAAATGTCGTTAAGGAAAATTCCAATTTTTGTTAGCCAGAGATAATGTTCAAAGTTCATAATACTGGGGAAATTTATCCATAATGGCACAGATCCCGGGAAGTCCTCTTGAGAAAAATCTTTTCAAAGGTCAATCAATCTGAAGCAGTTACGTCGAGATTCGAAAAATCTCTAAATGAGTCAGAGAACTATTTAAAGCTTGTGTGACCTGGTTGGTAGACAAAGTTGTCATGCTACACCTGGGGCAGTTATGTGATTATTGTTTTGCAGGAACAACCATTCATTCATCTCAAAGCAGTGTGCCGATAAGAAAAGCACAAGGTCATTGATGTTATTACCAGTGTGAAGTTCCTGATGGGACAATTTGTTTCGTAAAACTAATATTTCTTCTCCAATGGGGTCAACACTTTTGTTCAACAGAAGCTTGCATGTTAAGGTTGTTTGGAGAAGATTTCTCTCCCCAGTGAAGTATATAAGAACATATTTCTCCTTAGAGGAGTTTGCGCTTGAGTTGTCTTCACTTTAATGTTGTTCGAGAAATGGTCCCTGATAAGAAATGCTCCCCATGAAGTCTACACCTGTCTAGCTCTCAGTAAGTTTCTCTTCCCCAATAAGTTTACGTATCGGTGGATACCTTATGAGGTTTGCTTCACATCATTAAGATTTCTTCTGATATTTCTCTTACTCCTCCCCCAACAACTGGATATTTTGCAATGAGAGTACTTTTTGTTCAAGAAGTCTTTCCTCCCCAAACGAAGATTTTTTTCCTCGGTGAAGTTTTCTTCTCCTCGGTAGATTGCCATTCAGTGAATGGTTTGGTAAAGCCTAACAAATATTTTTAAATCCCATGTGAATGTTCGCGAGGGTGAGCTTATTGGTGAGTGGTCATTCATAAAGTAGAATTTTTCTCTAGCAGAGAAATTTTCTTCATTCCTCTAGTCAAGTCATGTTGGAAGTTCTTTCTCCCCAATAGGCTTTTGTTCGTGAAATTTCTTCTCCTTCCCCAATGGAGTTGTTGTGCCCAGATGGGCAGAAGTGCATGGATGTCTTTGTTCTGAAATTTTCCTACTCCCCCGGAGAAGAAGTTGATAGTTTACTCTCTACAAATCCTGTGGTTATTGGTATTCCTGACAATGTTTAGCCCCCAGTGACGTCCTCGTTCAGAGTGTGCAGTGTGTTTATTTCTCCCCAGTAAAAGTTGGCAATTTATTTTTGTAAGCTTTATCAAAATACAGCTTGTGGTTACCAGTTATTCAATTTATTACTCTCCAGTGAACATTTATACATTCATCATTACATTGCATCTATCCAAATGTGCAGTGTCTCCATTTATGTTGGGACGTTACTCCATAAAAGGAAAATTCAAACATGCATTAAATTATAAGCCAATCACATCACCTTGTTCCCCAGTAATTTATTAAACACAGCAAATATCCCATGATGTCCCCAACATATTTCCACAGTGTTCACCGCTTGTGTGTTTGTACCTTCTTCTCGATTATTACTCGCATTTGCTTAGAAGTTATAGTGCGAGAAAGAGTCGGCGTACAATCTTTATTTGTTTTCAATT